CTGTGTAAATTCTCAAAATACTTTCAATATAAGTCCAAGGTAAACATAAGCATGTACTACCTATAGTGCTTGCAAGCATTTCTGTTGGCCAGCTGGCAGAACAATGGTTTCACAGCTACACTCTCATCATGGACACCTTTGGGAAAATATGGCTAGCAAATTAAACCGGAGCGCCCGCTACTTTCCTCGCAGTCCCACTCACTAGGCCACGTGCCACTCAAATCGAGTTTTGTTGGAGCGCAAGGCCCGCCATTCCTTCCGTGGCGTCTTCTACGACCCTTTCCAAACTCCATCGGAGGTGAGAAGTTGGGACTGAGTGATCGGCTTGTCTCTCACTCGGCACCACTGCGGGTGCTGCACAGACTCGGGGACGAGGTCGCAGCCCCGCAGGGTGCCAGTTCCAGGCCCTTGCTTACCGCCCGCCCGCCCCGCCCCCTACTAAGGACCTGGGATCTGTCCTCTGGTTGTGCTGGGGTCAGGTCCACTTGAGAAATATAAAATCATGGATATTTGGAAAAGTTCTCCCTTTGGAACTACACAGGGAATGCTGGGTTTTCTTTCTCATTAAAATCAGGTGTCCCTTTAATCATTCCCGGCATATTCCTTATTCCATGGGCTCATTGAAGCAAAGTTCGCATTTTACACAAATACTTGGCCTAAATTTTCTGTTCAGCTTCAGTTTCAACTTAGGATGTTTAGGAAGACCAAGTAGCCAAATTCTATGCCAACAGGATTTCTGCTATCCCCAGGCGGGGCTTGGTGGCTCACGCCTGTAATCCTAGCACTCTGGGAGGCCAAAGCGGGCGGATTGCTCAAGGTCAGGAGTTCAAAACCAGCCTGAGCAAGAGCGAGACCCCCGTCTCTACTAAAAATAGAAAGAATTAATTGGCCAACTAAAAATATATAGAAAAAAATTAGCCGGGCATGGTGGCTCATGTCTGTAGTCCCAGCTACTCGGGAGGCTGAGGCAGAAGGATTGCTTGAGCCCAGGAGTTTGAGGTTGCTGTGAGCTAGGCTGATGCCACGGCACTCTAGCCCAGGCAACAGAGTGAGACTCTGTCTCAAAAAAAAAAAAAAAAAAAAGATTTCTGCTATTCCTATACTAGGGTGTGATTCTGATCATTCTTAGATTACCATCATATCTAACCAATGTCACCTCATCAGTAATATACATAAGCCATAACGCTTGGAGTTATGGTTATTATGTGAACATTCTCTTTCCATCATAGGTAATCTTTCTGTATCTACCTTCTTTTTTTTTCTTTTATCATATTATGGGGGTACCAATATTTAGGTTCCATATATTCTCCTATTGTGTAGGTTGTCTGTTCCTCTAATGATAGTTTCCTGGGCTGTGCAGAAGCTTTTTAATTTGATGAGGTCCCATTTATTAATTTTGGTTGGTGGTGTGATTTCCTTTGGGGTCTTCTTCATAAATTTTTTTCCCACGCCAATGTCTCTAAGAATTTTTCCAACATTTCCTTCTAGAATTCTTATAGTTTCCTGCCTTAGGTTTCAGTCTGTTACCCATTGTGAGTTGATTTTTGTGAGAGGTGAAAGGTGTGGATTCTGTTTCAGTCTTCTATGTGTGGCTATCCCAGCACCCCAAATATTCTGCCATGTATGTAACTTATAATAAAAATATTTTTATATGCTTTCTATATTGATATCCTGCTATTCGGTGAAAGTACATATTATATTTATCATAGGTAGAGTAATATTTTGCAATAATTATTGATGATTGTAAAAGGTCCTAATATTATATATAGAAGCAAAGAACTTTCAGATGATTAGTATGGAAATACATTTAAAGGTAAACAAACTATTAAGAGAGCATATGTGAGTTGGAAAATATCTGAAACAGTATTATATAT